TGTTTCATACTTGCTCTTCTTTTCCCATATTTATCTTGGTTTATCTTGTCCCAAACTTGTCCTGCTTCTTTCAAACCTGTCCTGCTTGCATCACAGTGGACCTACTTGTTCCACACTTGCCCCGCTTGTTTCATACTTGTTATGCTTTTTTTCACTTATTTTGCTTGATCCACGATGGTATTCCTTGAATCAAAATTTTTCTTCTTGTCTAAGACCTGCACTTCGTGTCTCACAATTTTCGTGCCTTTACCAACCTTTCATTGATTGTCCTCACTTATCCTGCTTATCGCATGCTTGTCCCAAACTTATCCAGCCTTTTTCACAATTCCTGATTTATCAAACTTATCTTGCTTGTCTCACATTTCACTTGTTTTCTACCACTTTTGTATTGCTTGTGTCATACTTGTTCAGCTTACTGCAAACTTGTCCGCTTACTTGTTTCACACTTGTCCTTCTTGTCTCACATTCGTCCTTCTTGTATTGCTCTTCCCAAACTAGCCGGTCTTATTTCAGACCTTTCCTGCTTATATCACACAAGTCCCACATTTATCCTGCTTTTATCACACTTGACGTCCTTGTCTCACAGTTGCCCTGTTTGTTTCACACTTTTTCCCTGCAAGTTCTGCTTGTCTCACACTTGCCTGGCTGGTTCCACACTGGTCCTTATTGAATCAAACTTTTCTTTCTTGTATAGAACCTGCTCTTCATATCTTGTATTTGTCTTTCTTTTACCACATTTGTGTTACTTGTACCTCACGTATCCTGCTATTCTTATGTTTGTCTCATACTTGTCCTGCTTTAACACACTTGACGCGTATGTCCGTCCTGACCAACTTTCCCCACACTTGTCATGATTGACATACAATTGTCCTGCCTGTTTCATACTTGTCCCACAGTCGTCCTGATCGAATCGAACATTTCTTGCTTGTCTCAAACTTGTCCAGCGTGTAACATACTGGTCTCGCACTTGTCTTTTTTGTCTCCCACTTGCTCTGCTTGTCTCACGTTTGTCTTTCCAATTTCAAACTTATCCCACTTCTATCACACTCGTATACCTATCCGGTTTATTTCAAACCTTTCATACTTGTCCCGCTGTTCCCAATGATTATCCCAATTGTCCCACAGCCATACTGATTGAATTGCATGTCTCACTCTCGCTATGATTGTCCCAGAGTCGTCCTGATAAATTCAAACTTTTTCTGCTTGTTTCACAATTGTCCTACTTGTCCCACACATGTCCTGGTTGCCCCACACTTTCATGCGTTTCTCATATTTTTACTGATATATTCAAACTTATTTTGCATAACTCCAACTTGCTCTATTTATGCCACATTTGACTTGATTATATAATACTTGTATAGGTTGTCCTCAATTCGTCCGGCTTATTTCAAATTCGTACATGTCCTGCTTGTCCCACATTTGTCTTGTTTGTCTCAAATGTGTCCTGTTTTCCCACACTTGTCATGATTGTCAAGCTTGTTTCCAATTAGTCCAGCTTGATCCTCACTTGTTTTGCTTGTCACAGATTTTGCACTGCTTATTACACAAATGAGTTGCTAAATTGTGTTGCTTGATCAACACTCGTCCTGCTTATTTTGAAACTTGTCCTGCTCGTCTCAGACTTGTCTTGCTTTTTCCGCACTCACCCTGATTGAATTAAACGTGTCTCGCTTGTCTCACAGTTGTCTTGCTTTTCTCACACTTGTTCTGATGGAATCATACTTGTCGTGCCTCTCTCCTATTTATCTTGCTTTTGCCACACTTGGATTGCTAGTCCCAAACTTGTTCTGTTTTTCTTCACATTTGCCATGACTCATTCAAACTGGTCTTTTTTGTCTTCTACTTGTTCGGCTTATTTCAAAGCTGTCTTGGTTGTATCACACTCGTACTACTTGTTCCACACTTGTTCTGCTTGTCTAACACATGACCGGCTTTACTCACAATTGTGCTGTCATTTGACGTTGTCTTACATCCTGACACTTGCTCAGCTTGTTCCACGTTTGACTTGCATTTACCACACTTGTCCTGCTCTTTTCTTTAGGTATCGAATTTGACATGCTTGTTTTGCACCTGCAGGATTTCTGCCCAGCTTCTGATGACATTCATCAGAGATAGAACACATCCAATAGAATGTGTTTGTTGTTCTTGAAGAATAATAGTTTCTGCTCTTTTTACTATGCCACAATATGTCGCCACAGTGTCACATTCATTCAAGTAAGTTTGGTAATATTACTTGGTAGTTTTCAACTGATTTAATATTACCCATCATTTGCCATTCTTAAATCGTGGATGCCAGTAAATCTTAACATAAGATCGCGAAAAATGAAGAAGCATTTCAAAAAATATCGGTATCATCTGCAATAAAAACAGCAGTACCCACTGGAATGATATCAAGGGGTGGATAATCATACTATTTGCTCCATCATGTGACGTTTTAATATCGCATCTCCCCTTTACCATTTTACATGAGTACCAATTTGTATCTAAGCTCAACTAGATATAAAAAAAAGCTTGGTACTGCGAATGTGGTGACCAACTGTTATTGGAAAAATATTCTACAATAAGATTAATTAATTGCATATTACTGAAAGTTATGCCTTAGTTATTATTTACGTATTGATTTTTTATCAGTTGTAGTTTTAGTTGCAACTGTGATTATAATTTGGAGTATTTAATGATGTGATTGCCAGGCAACAGCAACGAACGAATCGGACAAAACAAATTAGAACAAAATCCACAGCTAAATTTTCGTATACGAAGGTAAATTGGTTGTATAGCAATGTTTGAAAGGGTTCATTCGTCACACAAACGTTCATCAATTGAAACAAAAAAGTACAAACCAACCCAATAAGAGTAATATTTATTTCGGAAAAAATCTAACTAATCGCAAAAATTTAGAAATATTCTATTGGAAAGCATTATCGTATTGTTGCATATGTACTCAATGAGCGGAAGTTTCCGACCAACCGAGTGCTATGCAATTCCAGAGTCCTTCTGCAACGTTTTGTCTCCCCAAAATCAGACTACTACAGACAGGAAGTTCACAACAATGAGGAGAAAAGAATAATCATGCGATTTAAATACGGTAATAAATAAATTTGTTTAAAATCGAATTCTCAAGCGAGTACAGTTCACAATTTATGTTATGCTCATATATATTTGTCATCTACACTTAGTCCACTTGAAGTTGAGGATACAGTTGTTACTGAACTTGAAATGGTTGGAAAGGTTGAACTATAGTAGAACAAGATGTCAAACCTGTAGTTACAAACGAAACAAAATAAATTTAAATTTTAGCTTTTACAAAAAGGAGTTGCACAAGGAGTTTGTACATCATAGTTATAATCCTAGGTTGACCCATTGAAGCTTCGAAAGTTTTCGCACGAGACAAGACTTATATATTGTACATAGATAGGTACATGCATATATTTCAAATACTCACTCGGAAAAATCTGGTACTACACAATAGTGGAAAACTAATAGGATAAAAGCATATCCTCCTAGTATTCCAGTCTCTCTGTAATAATTACACAATGCGATGAATTAAAAGTGAGTAAGTTATGAAGAGTTCCTTAGAAAAATAAGGCTAAGGTAAGTTTGATGCATTCTATAGCGGGCAGTGAGTGACTCGTATGATACGGGAGTCTATGAATGAAATAATATAATAAAGTTTTTTTAACAGTCTAAAATAAATCAAAGTTTGTGACGCAATATAAATGAATTTGAAGTGGGGAGTATTGTGTTTCTAGGGCAGTGGCAAATATCATTCCCCTGAAATTAAATCATAAACGTTTGTAATCCTATTGAGGAAATCTAGGAACAACAAAATTGAATGAGAGTTCTTTTGCGAGTTAATTGCACAATACTTGGCATAAACAAAATTCCGCGTTCTAGTAGAAAAATATATTCTCATCTCAGCGACTTTAATTTCGAGCTATAATATTGCAAAATATAAAATATCATTCCTAGGAAGTTGTGTATAAATATATTTTGTTGATTCACATTGAATATGTGTAGGTAATTCAGGATGGGCAATTACTTTTCGGAGTCGGCCGGTTACAGATGGTCGACCTGGTTACTGGGCGGAGGCTCAAAACTCAATATGAAACTGTGAATAAAATAGAGTTTATATACAAATAACTAGCGTAACAGCGGAGGTACAACAAACAGCCAGTGTACCAAGTTGCACAATGATTATTGGTACGATGATTACATATCAAACAGAAAGCTGGATTGACTATTGTCTATAAAAAATAATTTTCTGTCCATTCCGTGTCAAAACACGACATTCGGAATCCACTTTGCGTTGCTTCCTCATAGGGATGGATTTGTTGCAGGGGCTGGGAAATCAGGGAAACTGCGCAGAGAAAGTTTATAATAAAAGAAACCCAAAAGCTATAGGATAACGTTTATAAATATAATAGGACAATGTAACAATCGGGCTCATCGTGACGTTATTTGATAAATTCAAACCGTTCAAACACATGCCTTAAGATGTACAGTACCGCGAGCTTAAATGAAGCGCCTTTCCTGTAGTTTGCGAATGGAATTACGGATAGGATAGGATTTACATATTTATTATTACAATTATATGGCAAACCACGGCCTCTCGTTCGGTTGGTTACCAGTCCATGGCAGGTATTGGATTACTTAGCCAGTTTCATTTGTTTCAGATGCATGGACTTGAGCGGTTACGTGAAGCATCCTACGGCGTCGAGGAGTCCAGTAATCCCCTCGCACATAATTATCCCGCGAGGTGGTGAGCCTATTACCAATGCTTGGCGCGATGCGCCAGTCTGAAATTTTGAAGTGGTGATTGATAGGATTGTCAGAGTCATTGCGTCTCACAAAACGCAAATCTATCAGTCGATCGCCTACCTGCTCGTTTCACTGTTTTAAAGCAATAGGTATTTGCTGCAGGAGGTGCAGTAAATAACGTTAGGAGATTAGCGAGTGACGTGAGTACAGACAGAATAATTGAAATTGAGTGCTGAAGTCGATGTACCGGACGGAAGGTAAGGACTGCACATTCACAGCCGCACGATTAAAACATAATTTGCAGGCCCAAACGCTATAACAATATCACGCTCTAGTTTTGGCAGACACGCTAGAGTTTTAGAAGGATGTAAATAAATAGGATAGATGAGTTTGAGGTATATGTGGCTCCCTCGCCATATTATATTCAGGTGCAGTGATACATGGAGAATTACGGTCAATATTTTAGTCGACGATTCGTTTTTTTTATCGAAATCTTCGAGATAAATTTATATATATCTATAAAAACTAGAGTCGTAATTTCTACAGACACAAGTCGGCCGGATGAAACACCTCAGTGGGCCGGATTTTACTTTATATTTTAAGACTAAAATTCCCGTTTATTAAATCTATCTACCAATAATAATACCTAGACTGGAACCCAAAATACCCATTTTCAATTAGTTTCAACTCAAGATTGAATATTTACACTAAGTGACGTTGAGTTGGGCAATTATATAGTCGTAAACATTGATTCACATCTGTCCATTAATACCAAGTGTGATTTCAAGAGAATAAGTATGCAATACCATATTATTATACGCGATTCCTCTAAAATAACAGGCTTTCGTGGTTACCTCTGGCGTTTCAATCAATTATAATGTACTTGATAGTTCTGATTAGAAATGAACCCGCTAAAAACGCCATACCTTGTTGTACGAAGGTGTCGCAGCTTCAACGTTACTGGCAATAGACGATACAAATGAAGTATACATGTACTCTCCATAGTTTGCATCGTTGGCAACGATTCGTTGCTGTAAGTGGGATATTTCTATTGCCTGAACCTGAATCGAATATTACAAGTTTAATGGGAACATGATTACCGACGTTTATGTTTGAACATTTAAATGTGAATTACCAATGAAAAACGAAAAACTTATACCTGTACATATATTTCAAGACTTTCTGGAATTTGAGAACAAACTACTGCAATTGTTTCCAATGTTTAGAAATTGACAAAAAGCAATAAGTCTATCTTATTAGGTGCCTTTGAATAGAAAGAATAAATTCCAACTTCCATCGTCAGTAATTTTTACACACTTTTGTCATAAAAACACATTAAGATACTCTGCTCTCTGACTGCTCTTCTCTTTTTCGAACTTATAACTTACTGATGGAAGCATGTTCATCAGATTAGGGGTTTTTATTCCATCTTCTTAAACTTACATTGCATATATTGTACAGCAGATGTCGCAAGATAATCGCCCCAAGACAGGAACCCCATGTCGCTTGGCTGTTTCTATAATAATTTCTGAACGTACACTCACACACACCTCCGCAGATCACTACTGAAATTTTAGAAGCTAGCGAGATTCCAAGAAAAATTAATGTTGGACCATTACCTCGAGGTAATAACATTCCACAAAAAAGTTCTAATTTAAAATAACGTGATCAGAATTTGAGAACATTGGAATAAAGTTTCATATAAGAGGAGTTTTTGTGCCGTAAAATTTTGGCAAAATATCACATATACCACAACGACTAAACGGCTTACTGAAACGTGTCTCAATAGGATGAAGATCTTCAGAAAATAAGACAGCGAAGCCACTTTAGGTCGATGTCTCCATATAGGCCTGGTTTAGGCAAATTATCAGAATCATTAGATTTCCTTTGTGATTGATTTGATTGGATTTCATGTTATTGACAAATGGTGTCAAGTTTAACTTGTGATATTGAAAGCCTGGAATAGCACACAAATTGGGTATGGTATAATTTGCAACTCTTTCTGATATAAGGGCTACAAGCTATTCAATAATAAATTCGACTAGCTGAATAATTAAATTTGATAATTGCGTTATACTTTTGTGTGGGTTCCATGTTTTTGTTTGAATGCAAAAGTATATATTCATGTTGTGTTCCTAAATTTGAGTAGGCTTCACTAGAGCTGAATTTATTACGATTAATAATTCATTGTTAGTAATTTGTTCTGATTTGTTTTATGTTTGTATTAAAATAGCCGTGACAACTGTATACTTCAATCTGTTTAATTTTAAGAATACAAACTTTAGGCCTTAAAGACTGCGTTATTGAGACTGTGACCAGGAATTATAAATTAAATGCATAACTGAATATAATTTGCTGTTTGCCCTTTTGTATCGTACAGAATGAGATTCTCTCCAAAATTTTGTCGTAGTTTATCGAAGTTTCTCTTTTTTATTACTTGCTAAACCTGTTTCGTCAAAAAAACGTAATAGTTCATCGTGAATATCGGCGACGAACGTTAAATATAACTAAAGGAGTGAGTTCACAACCAAAATGCCCAAGCAAACTTATTCTGATTCTTACATTTAATGTTGACTTGATCGTTCTTATCATAGTTTGTTACCCCCAACTTTAATTTAGGTGAACGATACTATCATTATAGATTTCGTATTTTTCTATTACGCGCGAGGTTCGTGACATATTAAAGTGCAGGTCATCATTTATCAGATATTTGAATATCATTTTACATAAAGCCATACGGATACGAATATTCGATTCACTGTTCGATATTCGAATATTTTGACCAGCATCTAATCCATGCGACATACGCTGACGTCCGGTATAGGATAATTTGAAAGCACCAAATCCAAATTGCAACATCCTCACCAAAACGCCTTGAATCGCCAAGTTCGGTATGTTGAAAGATAGGTGGAAATAATCACGATAAAATGAAATATGTTCCCTTTTGATTAAAGTAAAACAGCAGCCGTCTTGCGAATCAGCTATATCTATGACTACTGAAAAATTAAAATCGAAAGGTCCATTAGTTGCAAGAGCGATTTTTTCTCAACGACAACAATTCAACAAAACTATATATAGGTTCACTTTGTGTCAAAAAAATTCACAAAGTATGACCGGAGGGTCAAAAAAGATCAGAGAAAATCTAAAATATAGGAGTGGTACCCCGCGAGTCTGAGACGCTCTGATCTCTATTGCAACAAAATTTGAAATCGGCTGGTCTAGTAGTAAAATGTAATTGTGGTTTTTGCTCCAACGACAACAAGAAAAACATTAAAAAAAAAAATTTCTCAAAACGATCGAACGGTCTATTTTTTTTTCCATCCAATGAAAGAAGAGCGGACATGCTATCCACGCACCGATACCGGTTCCCTGATTAGCCATTCAAGATGTAAAAAACACCGCGTCAGTAAGTCTTTGTGACATATACTTACCCGCAATGTACCAATAGTACTGATAAAATTCAAATATGAAGTCCGTTCTCACAGAATAAAGTATCTCGAAAGGTTTTAAGACATTCGTTGAAAAGTCAGTTTACTCAAAACTACATTTACGCGAATGGCTCGAACGTTTTCTCCCAAGTAGGCTTTTCTAAACGCGCTGCGAGGGTTTAGTCTCAATTGCGCTTCATACATATCTGTATGCACATTAGCATTGGAATTTTTCGATGTGATAGGTGTGATTTGAATGAAATATCTATATATAGATTAAAATGTATACATGCATTTAACTGTTAACCACCCAAAATTGAACCTGATTAAATCTTTTGAATACCTAGAATAACATTGGGCAGATTCTCTGACATACATATGACTGAACAAGAAAAAAATATTATATAAGATTTATATTTTATCTATTAAAAACGCTTGTTTTTAAGATTATCCATTCTTTGCTCATGAACTAATGCAACGTAGTGCGGTCGTTAGACAAGAAGGCGCAACGTCGACATAAGAATTTACATTATGCGATGATTGAAAAATCAAATATCAGCCAAGTAAAAAAATCGAAATTTGTTGTGTACAATCAACCAATCCAGCAGCAAATTCATCTTTTATGTCATACTTCACAGTGTAAAACGGGCATTTGTCATGATATTATTGTGAAGAAATTTTTTTAAATATAATTATGCTGCAATCTTGCGAATAAAATATTATGAAATTCAAGACTGTTCAGATAGTGACATGCTTATCTCATTATCGTAAAACTTAAAATCTTTTTATGTCAGGAAATTGAATTTTGCATTTTTGCATTTTGATCTCATATGTAATTTTTTTTAAATAGTTTATTCACTAAATTAGATAGTTAATGGTCTTTCAATAAAATTCTCATCTAAAATTACATCTGCCGTTTATTTACTTCAAATTTCGGCAAAGTAACTTACAGTATTGGGTGATCGATCATTATTTTGCGGTGTGTTCTTCCGTTGCCTTGGGGCAGACTTAAAACTAAAATAATGCTGGTTAGTCACGCGATTTGCATTCTTAGTTAGGTATTGACCTACACGGATGAGTCATAGCGAAGGTGATTTTAAATTTTATGAAATATTACGCTGAGAGAGGGAAATAATATTCCAGATAAGAATAAAACGTTTTAATGAAAAACTATGCGGTCGATGGATAATGGGCATTTATTTCCCAAGAAAGTTTGTTGCTTTTTAAACAAGTTCATTAAAAACAGAATTTCACTTTTCCTTATTGTTCGGAGCCAAAATTCCATAAATTTAATTTCTGGATCGCTATAATTATGGTGGGTTGTTATGCCCACAGTGACTGTTTATCATCAAGAACTGTATGTAACGTTCGTATATGGCGTTTTAATTGGAGCGTTCGAATTCAATCTATTACGATTATCAAGCAATGTTTCATAAACGATATCAACACGTACACATCCATATTTTCATCAATTTTTATAAGATAAAAAATGGATTTAATATTTGAAGGAAAGGTGGAAAATGTATCTCAATTCTTCTATTAGTAATTCCAAATATAATTGTACAGTATGTATAATATCCAATCCAATCTCTAATTAAAAAATAGTTTTTTTACAACGAATCGAAGCTCAATACGATTATACCCAACCTCCAATTTTAATTCTTTTTTCGCGATTTAGTCGATGATATTTTAATTCAGAAAGCGATCTAGGTAATAAACCAGAACTATAGCCTTGAGACATCCAAACTGTCGGCGCTGTTTTGAGATTTTAGAATGTCATTATGTTATTTGTTAATATCAATTATGTCGTCAGCAAATACCGAATAGATAAGATAAGGTGTTGAAAAATAAAAAATTCACAGAAAGTATGCAACGGCCATTCGTCACCCGGACACGCAAACAAACGGTTGGCGTGAACTACGCATTTAGGATTATTTCGAAAAAGAAAAAGTGCCAATCCAGGATAAATTCTTTATAAATTTCAGGGAAAAAAAGGTGATACGTGGCGATAGCGTTAGAAGTATAAGAATGGTAATACAGCCAACGATGAAATAAAAGTTAAAAGAATGAGGCGAGACAGGAATTGCATATGCATATGTATGCTCAACTGTACCATAAGAAAGGGAGCTGTGACAATACTTTGACACGCGCATTATGATGTCGAATATTTGGCACTATGACTCTATCTTAGATCTCTTAGCTTCCTACATTGTATTTATAATTAAGCTACTAGTAATCATAGCACGGTGTGCGTTCTCTACTAAAGTTCCACCTTAGAAAAGTAATGACGCAAATTGTTCGCTTTATAAAGTTCTTAAAATTTTTAACATACCTTATTTAATTTACATTAGTGTTTTTTTGTTTATATTGGCAATTCTGTATTATACACACAGGACGTTTGAGTACAATACAAATTATGACATCACATTTTTTAAAATTATTGATTGCCTGAATACGAGGCCCCATCACCGAACTATACGGTATGCCAATACCAAAACGCCGAAAGTTACTTTTAAGAAAAGCAAGGTTGTATCACTTAGGTTTTTTCGTATTTTTAGTAAACGCTGTCCAAAGTCAAGGCTTAATAAAGTTGTCTATGCAAAATAGGATAGCATTCGCTAAGAATAACTATATTATCTGATTGATTTTTCACAGATGAATATCAGATTCTGTTGCATTGTACTAGTAGTACTACTTTGTCTTTCTGTAGACAATGTTATATGGTAAGTGTCGAACATTTCTTCAATATTCGAGCAGAACTAAAATATAACAATGTGTGGATATATTAAAGACTCGCGCTGTCATCCAGTAAATTAAATTTCCAACGGAGCTTCATTGCTCATTTTTCTACTTGTCATTGTGTGATTGCGTGCTACCATTAATTCTCAAGTTGCGTGATGTCTCAATGTGGTTACGAGTTTGGCAATTTTTGCAAACTAGATAATGAATTGGAACAATTATCCTTTGTTGAGTCAATCACATCTCTTGCCAAGCACTGTGGTATTAAAAAATTGCATTGAAATTTATTTGGACTCATAAAAAAAAGATATAAATACAGGTCTTCCCATGATTAGAAACATATTATGCTTTGATGTCTCGACGTAGATAATGTGAAATTTCTTATTTTACCAAATTAGTATCAAGATTACGAGGAGACGCAATAGTAAATTCAAACAAGCAGTTTTACACGATGATATCGTGACTGAAGAAATAGGTAAGTTATTCGCATCATTATGTATTTTCGTCGGCCACAAGTGAAACGAGTCAATGGAGTCGATAATAAGTCCGCCTCAGTAAGAATCGGATATACCACACTAATAGTGTCAGACAGTTGAAACCCTGAAAATCTGCAAAATTATTTGGCACTTTGGCAGTATGAATTATTTTTCACTTAACTTGTACTGCAAGCTACATACAATAAGAAATTAGATGTTGTTGAATGACTTATAGTTATTTCTCAACACTAATCAAAAAACTGCGATAACATAGGGAAGAGTCCACATTCCAGAGTGATAAAAGTAAACTATAGCAAATGCTGTCATTTTTAAATCAACATGATTTACGTTGCTCATATCAACCACAGTGTCAGCGGAATGATAACAAGTTAGATATCCATATATGTCAGCAACAATTCATTTTTGGCCATTCATACGCGGATACGCCCATTCATTTCCAATCTCTGCAATTCTTCATGTTGGATTCAACGAGTGGACTGTCGTACATTCCGACACTTTACTGACAAATTTACTGACAAGCTTGACAATCTGTAGATCCATCGACATACTGTGAATTAAAATAACAATTGTATTTAATTAAGACTTCACATATGTAATTACCAAATGAACTAGCCCAATTGAAGTACAATGAATGCAAATATATCCATACTAATGAATAAATTCGATAATTAGCCACTATTAGTCTTACATAAGATATATATAGTAAATGAAATATTTTTTTACACAGGCAGGGCCGGATTTAATATTAGGAAAAGTAGACTAACCTGAGGATTCAATCTTTAGATGCCTCGAAATTAAATTTTGAATTATTATTTTTGAATTGCAAACGCTTGTTCCAAAATAAATCCGATTTACCATTTGTTGTTTCAATCATGTTATCAATTTCTGCTCCGAATATTTACCGTATAAAAGTTTAAATTAAATATGGGCAAATAATTAATTTGTCTATATTCGAAAAAACTCCCTCTTTTCAACCTTGAAACCAAATTGAGCCGATTTGAATTGTTTTTTTGAATAAGATGAAAAAAATATCAATATATTGCCTTAAGGTTTTGAAGTGTTTTTAAATTCAACTTTAACAATCTACTTGGGTGATTAGCGTACGTATGTCTTGCCTGAAATTAAAGTTTAATATTTTACACAATTTAAAGATACTGACGCCATAATACATTTTACAACACTAAAGACCCGTTATGACGTCTGAAGAACTCTTTTGACGATGTTGCTAATATGCACACAAACGGCATAGCACATGGCCTCTCACCGTCTGAATCCGCCCCTCACCTATGTCAATGTCAAATTTCACTCTACTCACGTGTGAAGAATTCCGCTAAATTCGTTTTTTATTCAAACAATCGTAGAATGATGGAAAAATGTCCATTTTATTTTTCAGATGTGAGCCAGTTGTTCGATTCTGTGGACTAGCAAGCAGGAATGAATAACAAAATTTTGCTTCGTTCAACTCTGGTCGGACTCATTCAATCCATTTCATCCTCGATTTTATCATGAATCCTTGTTTGTTTGTACATGAATTAACCTTAAATCTCAAATACATTCATCGAACCCGACACTAATATTTCAGTTGCTACGAAAATAATAAACATGTAACCAAAACCAATGGGAATGTATTTTGTCTAGTTCAGGTCCTGCTTTGAGATGATATGATTTTGCCAATGGTGTACTTCATCTTCGTTTATTTACGCGATTCGAGAAAACGCTGATAATCTTGGGTGTGTCGCATGTCAATTATGGTCAGAGATAATTAGGTGCAAATTTATCTACAACGAACCATTATGGTTGAGAAATTACAATATGCAAGAATACCGTTTTTATATAAGCTTGGAAAGAACACGGAATCTGTGACTGCAGGTGGGCTAGATCTTATTTAAGGCTTTCTAATATTTGCACGCACAAAAATTTTGAATATCGATCTTATGACATGCGTTGTTCGCTTTGAATAAACTAGCTGTTAGGGCAGGGGTTCTCAAACTCTTGGTCTCAGGGAGCCCGTGAAGAGGCTGTACATTATTAATGGATCCCCACAATAAATTTTAAAATTGTTATTTACCTAATAATATTACTTTACTTCATTTGAATGTTAAAATCGTAAATGGATCTAAATTTCACAAATAAATTATACATATTAAAGTTATAAATTGACACTTGACAAACATATTAATAAATTTGGTGTCCAACCCCATCCCTTTTGATAGTTTTGGAAGACTGAAAAAGTCGCTAATAACGTGCGCGATTGCTTTTTGTCCAAATCGCCGATTGTTTTCATCAGCGTTACGTGTATTTGGATCGTAAACATCTTTACGTCCGTGTTTATTCTATCTAAATCGCAAATTTTTCTCGGCATATTCATGTATTGTTCCATGAGAAACGACGATAATTTATTTTTTGTTCCTGTCCGAAATTTATGAGTTCAGTGTGGAAAACAAGTTAACATATCACCGGCAGCTAGATGTTAATAAAAATAATTAATGAAAAGGTGAATCTGCAATCCAAATTTCTTGATTGAAAAGCGACAATATAAAATATTAAAACTGAAACCTGGAACGGAAGATAAAGCCATAAGTTTTGTTGTAGCAGATTCGCGGCAGATTGAAAACGCTTAGTAGGGATTGTAAATCATAATATTTGGTGATATGTTAGGTTTTCATTAGAAATTAAACCGTAGTAACTTTAATCGAAACAAAGTCAATAGTGCTCGCGATGTACCATTTATCCATTTTGAAACTACCGACGGAGGCGCATGCGACTTTTACTCGGTATGTGGCGATATCTAAGGTAATTAATGTAAAGTACAGTATATCAATAAATTTTTTGGTACTCCCGTAGTATGTGTACCAGGTCAGAGTTAGCCATAATTTTATTATAGTTTTATTAGGAGTTCGGGGACTGTCTGTGTTGGCGGAGTCAGTGTTGCAAGAACGGCTAAAATTTGTCAAAATCGCTAAATGCCCAATCAGTCATGATTATAATTATGATTTAATCGGGATGGGCACAAATATTTTAATCGAGCTACCGGCACCAGTATGTATTTGACGATTCTCGAAATCGAAAAAATACACTTCAATCTATTTGTTGTCGGCAATTTAGCACGTATTGTATGTTATTGGACACTTTAGTGGGCATAACGATTGTTTCAATATTATGTTGTTGTTGTTGTTATTCTTCTTCTCCTTCGTCATGATAAAATCGCTTTTTTCTTCGAATACTGGACCAATTGCTTCGAAATTTTCAGTGGTTGAAGTTTGATTTTTTTCCAGAACGCTATTATTTTTATTTATTCCTAAATTTCCTATGAATCCTATGAGATCTGGTATTTCATTCAAAATTTCGCTGTTCTAAAATTTACTCATGGACCACTGTTTTGAAACTCATTTCAAGCGGTTGCGTGATCGAGCCTGCAGGAACGGTACTGCTCAGTTACCGTCCACTGTGAAATTGACTTATTCCTTTCGCGATTTAACTATTGCAGTAATGTCAAATGTAGGTTTTCTAGCAAGTCTAGCCTACCGTATTTGTTAATTTTGATAAGAGAAAATTGAATTGAGTTTTTATATGCCAGAGAAGAACCGTTCCACGATCGAATAGCAGGCCTACAGTACAGCAACAGGTACTGGTAAGGGACCGTGCGGTACCTTTGTGAATTACGCTCTCATCTTCGTTACAGTTCTGATGTAAACAACATAAATTTTGTAGCCTATCTTTTTTTTTATTTGATAAGAGGAAATGAATTTAGTTCTTATATACAATATTGATGAATTCAGCTTAACAGGTGGTGGAACACTATCTATGTGAGGCTTCATTTCACTTGACGTGGTTTTCATGTGGCCCGCATCGTCATCATCTGTGGCCCGCGTCGCCTTTGCTGCAAAATAATCAAAAAATCGCATATGATGTTGTTTCGTCATGAAAATAACAGAAAATCTTTTCGACATTCTGTTGCATCACTAATGTCACTGAATTGACTAGTGTCACGGTTAGCTGAAGCAACTAGCGAAGTTGAATCGAGCGTGATTGGGTAGTCCAAATTGTTCACTGGCTTTCTATCTATTTGGTTGCTAATATATCCCAACAGTTATAAATAACTAAATATGATAACTAAATATTAATCTTATGACCTGAGAATATAATTCGTTCTGGTGATGTTTTGCAGCCAGCCTAAACAGTATTACAAAAAATGCTTCTGATATTTCAGAAAAATTAGTAATTACTCTCTTGTACCTTACATCTGGTAAAATATAATAATCAATCATTCAGCAGTTATGGCAAATATAATCTAAAACGGCATTTTGCTATCATGTGAGAAATGAACATTTCCAAATTTCGAGGGATTTTGCTTTGAGAACCGATGTTCGAGAGCACTTACATTTGCGGGAGCATATTCTCCGTAATGAAGAGTTTGCAATCTTACATTAAATGTAGATGTAGCAAAACGTTTATATGTTTCAGTGATTTTTCTGGCGTATTTTATATGATATAGCTTTTTAAATGCAAACAATGATCAATCGCTTGCACAATAAAAGTGTTTGTTGTTTACATATTTCTGACGCTATTGTGGCCCGCGAACAACACAAAAATAATTTTGTGGCCCGCGAAGGCGACAACCTTGGACTACTCTGATCTATATATAAGCTAAAATATATACATGCATATAACTGTTAACCACCAAAATTGAACCTGATTAAATCTTTTGATTACCTAGAATCGTATTGGGCAGATTCTCTGACGTACATATGACTGAACGAGAAAAAATATTTTATATGCTTCATATTTTATCTATTAAAAACGCTTGCTTTTAAGATTATTCATTCTTGGCTCATGAACATGCAACGTAGTGCGGCATTAGACAAGAAGTTGGCGCGACGTCGACATAAGAATTTACATTATGCGATGATTGAAAAATCAAATTTTAGCCAAGTAAAAAAATCGAAATTTGTTGTGTACAATTAACCAATCCAGCAGCAAATTCATCTTTTGTGTCATACTTCACAATGTAGATCGGGCATTTGTCATGATATTGTTGTGAAGGGATTTTTTAAAATATAATTATGCTGCAATCCTGCGAATTAAATATTTTGAAATTCAAGACTGTTCAGATATTGACATGCTTATCTCATTATCGTAAAACTTAAAATCTTTTTATTTCAGGAAATTGAATTTTGCATTTTTGCATTTTGATCTCATATGTAATTTTTTTTAAAATAGTTTATTCACTAAATTAGATAGTTAATGGTCTTTTAATAACATTCTCATCTAAGATTACATCTGCTGTTTATTTACTTCAAATTTCGGCAAAGTAACTTACAGTATTGGGTGTTTGATCATTATTTTGCGGTGTGTTCTCCCGATGCCTTGGGGCAGACTTAAAACTAAAATAATGCTGGTTAGTCACGCGATTTGCATTCTTGGTTGGGTATTGACCTATACACGGATGAATCATAGCGAAGGTGATTTTAAATTTTATGAAATATTACGCTGAGAGAGGAAAATAATATTCCAGATAAGAATAAAACGTTTTAATGAAAAACTATGCGGTCGATGGATAATGGGCATTTATTTCCCAAGAAAGTACGTTGCTTTTTAAACAAGTTCATTAAAAACTGAATTTCACTTTTCCTTATTGTTCGGTGCCAAAATTCCATAAATTTAATTTCTGGATCGCTATAATTATGGTGGGTTGTGATGCCCATAGTGGCTGTTTATCATTGAGAATTGTGTATGTAACGTTCGTATATGGCGATTTAATTGGAGCGTTCGAATTGAGTCTACTGCGACTACCAAACAATGTTTCATAAACGCTATCAACACGTATACACATCTATATTTTCATCAATTTTTATAAGATAAAAAATGGATTTAATATTTGAAGGAAAGGTGGAAAATGTATCTCAATAAGTGTCGAACATTTCTTCAATATTCGAGCAGAACTAAAATATAACAATGTGTGGATATAATAAAGACTCGCGCTGTCATCCAGTAAATTAAATTTCCAGCGGAACTTCATTGCTTATTTTTCTACTTGTCATTGTGTGATTGCGTGCTACCATAAATTCTCAAGTTGCGTGATGTCTCAATAGGGTTACGAGTTTGGCAATTTTTGCAAACTAGATGAATGAAACAATGAATTGGAACAATCATCCTTCGTTGAGTCAATCACATCTCTTGTCAAGCACTGTGGTTATAAAAAATTGCATTGAAATTTATTTGGACTCATAAAAAAAAAGATATAAATACAGGTCTTCCCATATTTAGAAACATAATATGCTTCGATATCTCGACGTAGATTATGTGAAATTTCTTATTTTACCAAATTGGTATCAAGATTACGAGGAGACGCAATGGTAAATTCAAACAAGCAGTTGTACAAGATGATATCGCAAATGAAGAAATAGGTAAGTTATTTGCATCATTATGTATTTTCGTCTGCCACAAATGAAACGAGTCAATGGAGTCAATAATAAGTCCGCCTCAGTGAAAATCGGATATTCCACACTAATAGTGTTGGACAGTTGAAACCCCGAAAATCTGCAAAATTATTTGGCAGTATGAATTATTTTTCACTTAACTTGTACTGCAAGCTACATACAATAAGAAATTAGATGTTGTTGAATGACTTATAGTTATTTCTCAACACTAATCAAAAAACTGTGATAACATAGGGAAGAGTTCACATTCCAGAGTGATAAAAGTAAACTATAACAAATGCTGTCATTTTCAAATCAACATGATTTACGTTGCTCATATCAACCGCAGTGTCAGCGGAATGATAACAAGTTAATAGATATCCATATATGTCAGCAACAATTCATTTTTGGCCATTCATACGTCCATTCATTTCCAATCTCTGCAATTCTTCATGTTGGTTTCAACGAGTGGACTGTCGTACATTCCGACACTTCACTGACAAGCTTGACAATCTGTAGATCCATCGACATACTGTGAATTAAAATAACAATTGTATTCAATTAAGACTTCACATATGTAATTACCAAATGGATTAGCCCAATTGAAGTACAATAAATGCAAATATATTCATACTAATGAATAAATTCGATAATTGACCACTGTTAGTCTTCCATAAGATATATATAGTAAATGAAATATTTTTTTATATCAGACACTACACTTAGGCAGGGCCGGATTTAATATAAAGAAAAGTAGACTAACCTGAGGACTCAATCTTTAGATGCCTCGAAATTAAATTTTGAATTATTATTTTTAAATTGCAAAGGCTTGTTCCAAAAAAATCCGATTTGACATTTGGTATTTTTGTTATTAATTTCTGCTCCGAATATTTACCGTATAAAAGTTTAAATTAAATATGGGCAAATAATTAATTTGTCTATATTCGAAAAAACTCCATCTCTTCTACCTTGAAACCAAATTAAGCCGATTTGAAATATTTTTTGAATAAGATGAAAAAAATATCAATATATTGCCTTAAGGTTTTGAAGTGTTTTTAAATTCAACTTTAACAATCTACTTGGGTGATTAGCGTACGTATATCTTGCCTGAAATTAAAGTTTAATATTTTACACAATTTAAAGATACTGACGCCATAATACATTTTACAACACTAAAGACCCGTTATGACGTCTGAAGAACTTATTTGACGATGTTGCAAATATGCACACAAACGGCATAGCACATGGCCTCTCACCGTCTGAATCCGCCCCTCACCTATGTCATTGTCAAATTTCACTCTACTCACGTGTGAAGAATTCCGCTAAATTCGTTTTTTATTCAAACAATCGTAGAATGATGGAAAAATGTCCATTTTATTTTTCAGATGTGAGCCAGTTGTTCGATTCTGTGGACTAGCAAGCAGGAATGAATAACAAAATTTTGCTTCGTTCAACTCTGGTCGGACGCATTTCAATCCATTTCATCCTCGATTTTATCATGAATCCTTGTTTGTTTGTACATGAATTAACCTTAAATCTCAAATACATTCATCGAACCCGACACTAATATTTCAGTTGCTACGAAAATAATAAACTTGTAACCAAAACCAATGGGAATGTATTTTGTCTAGTTCAGGTCCTGCTTTGAGATGATATGATTTTGCCAATGGTGTACTTCATCTTCGTTTATTTACGCGATTCGAGAAAACGCTGATAATCTTGGGTGTGTCGCATGTCAATTATGGTCAGAGATAATTAGGTGCAAATTTATCTACAACGAACCATTATGGTTGAGAAATTACAATATGCAAGAATACCGTTTTTATATAAGCTTGGAAAGAACACGGAATCTGTGACTGCAGGTGGGCCAGATCTTAATTAAGGCTTTCTAATATTTGCACGCACAAAAATTGTTGCGTGTTCGCTTTGAATAAACTAGCTGTTAGGGCAGGGGTTCTCAAACTCTTGGTCTCAGGGAGCCCGTGAAGAGGCTGTACATTATTAATGGATCCCCACAATAAATTTTAAAATTGTTATTTACCTCTTAATATTACTTAATATTACTATAATGCTAAAACCTTTTCAATAAGGTTAATACACGCCATAAATGGATCTAAATTTCACAAATAAATTATATATATTAAAACTATTGAATATTTGAAACTAGACAAACATATTAATAAATTTGGTGTCCAACCCCATCCCTTTTGATAGTTTTGGAAGACTGAAAAAGTCGCTAATAACGTGCGCGATTGCTTTTTGTCCTAATCGCCGATTGTTTTCATCAGCGTTACGTGTTTTTAGATCGTAAACATCTTTACGTCGGTGTTTATTCTATCTAAAATCGCAAATTTTTCTCGACATATGCATGTATTGTTCCATGAGAAACGACGATAATTAATTTTTTTGTTCTTGTTCGAAATTATGTGTTCAGTGTAAAAAACAAGTTAACACATCACCGGTTAATAAAGTGGTGACTCTGCAACCCAAATTTCTTGATTGAAAAGCGACAATATAAAATCTTAAAACTAAAACCGGGAACGGAAGATAAAGCCATAGGTTTTGTTGTAGTAGATTAGCGACAGAATAAAAACTCTTTTTTAGACATTGTGAATTATAATATTTAATGATATGTTTGGTTTTTGGTGAAAATTATACCGTAGTAACTTAAATCGAAACAAAGTCAATAGTGCTCGCGATGTACCATTTATCCATTTTGAAACTACCGACGGAGACGCATACGACTTTTACTCGGTATGTAGCGATATCTAAGGTATTTAATGTAGTATGTGTACCAGGTTAGAGTTGGGCCATAATTTTTTTCCGATATTCGTTATTTTAGTTTTATTGGGAGTTGGGGGACTGTCTGTGTTGGTGGAGTCAGTTTTGCAAGAACGGCTGAAATTTATAATTATATATGATTTCATCGGGATGGGCACAAATATTTAAATCAAGCTACCGGCACTAGTATGTATGTTTTTGTGTGCAGTACGAAATTGCTACTAATATATATATTATAATAACAGCGTTGTTTGGGAAAAACGGTACTCCATAAGAGCTTTGTTAACTTGACTTGTTTCATTATTTTTCATTGCATGTCCGCGGATTGCCGTGGTAATTTTGAGTAGTAATGATTTTATATTGTAGTAAGTCGACTCGACCGCAGATTACATTGAACACAATTGAGCCAATAAACAAGTCATTTTGAATATGCACACATCAGATTGCGCAATTGTGAATTGTACTAATTGAGATTTTAACGCCGACCTTGGATTTGTGTAATGGCAATATATTGCATAAAAAGATTCTTGAGTGCTGATCGAACAACTCAAATTTGACGATTCTCGAGATCGAAAAAATACGGATCCGCTGAAAATGTCTTTTTTTAACGAGTGGCCTGATCCCAAAGAATGTTGCGCGAGAATTTCCGTTTCCAATTTTGAACACCGCCCATCGCTTTTGAAAATCCTGGCCGCGCTCCTGCTTATAGATAATGTCCTCGTTGATATATTCCGACGCTACTGTTGTCAAATTTTCTTAATGCTGTTATTGCTTCTTTGGACAGTCACAGAATTACGTTATTAACCGAACAGCTCGAGGAACACCTAGGTTTCTCTCCCGGTGCCCTGGTACTCCGTACTGAATACTTTGACCACCTCTGTGTTAAGGCATTGTGACGTCATATGCATATATAGTAAATTGGACTTGGCTATAGTCTTTGCAACGCAAAGGAATTGGAATTACTCACACGTACCACATTAAGCTACATAAATACCTTGTTTCGCGGGCCGCACGCCATTCAAAATTGGCACTCTCCCTCGGGCGCACAATTTTTCCTCGTGGGTCGCATTTAGCCCGCGGGCCGCAGGTTGCACACCCATGAGATAGTTGATAGCCCCACGCCCATGAGATCCTAATCCAGGCGATTAAGCAGCTAATTAGCTTTGTGATGGCAAGCGATAGTTGATGTTTCGCGAAGTTATAGGTAATCTACTTGAACCTCAATTCAAATGGTTTGATTCAGACGATAACGAAAAAATTAAATAATCTGATATCGGTATCATCTGCCACGAACGTGATATTGAACACATATTATATGTCCTATACATGAAAAGTATAGCACCAATATATTCTGCAATAACCATCACAGAAAGGTTCGAACAATAAATAATTTTTAATACATTTCATGAGTGTTATGATTTATCGAAATTTATAGCAGGACCCAATCGAACCACTTTCCAACAGATAGAAACTAATGCAGAGGACCGAATGCAGTCTATTGAAGCTCGGCGAGAGGCAGTGATTGCATGAACTATCAGTTCGAGGTTAACAATATGGGATCGGTATTAATACACATCATCATATCCGCCAGAACTACAAATAATTTGGCTTTTGTACTCTCCTCGGTCATCGTGTAATGGCGATTCGTGAGTTCTTGTTTGGGTATCTTTGCCTATATTAAATCCAGGAAAGTAATCTTGACATTCTCTGTCACGACCTGAAGGTACCTTTGAATCTTTTATGAGAACGAACAAATTTGCAGAGAAAAGCTCTTTCTGATTTACGCAACCAAGTGGGCAAGTAATTAGGAACAAGATGTTCAAGTCGAAATATTTTATATGGAGTTGCATTGACGGCTGTACAATCAGAGATTGAAGCGATTGAATTTAACGTCGTAACTGAATGAGGCGACTTGCCAGAAAATGAGCTCTCAGGCTTCAATAATTGCCGTTGACTCTTTTTTTGAAACCTTTCACTTTTCTGTGAAACGAATATTAGAATGTGATGATCGTGGCGTAAAGAATGAGCTCCTAATCAACTTTCTTATCGTTTTAGAGTTAAACTTGAGAGCCACATGAAAGGCTTTTGACGCTCTAGCGGGCAAATAACTGTATAGTGCGCAGTTTCAAGTTTTGGAGTGTGGGGTCTTACTTTATTGAGTTATAACGGATAATTTTATTTGATGCATCTGATTCTTTATATTTTTTTGAAATTTTTGATGATTAATATAAACATAAATATAAAGACGACTTAGTCATCTACTTATGAATTTGTTGAATCCGTAATCGTTGACCACAGTTCGGAAACGGTCTGATGACGTGGTAATGAGAACTTTCGAAACACTGATGTGCCGAAGCAGCGCTGTTTGGATTTTCGAGACGAATATTATGACGTCATAGCAAATTCAAACGACGAGTTATCATCACCTTTTTGACCTATAAACAATCACCGTTGACAAAATTATATCAGATTCGTATGACTCCGCTGGTTCACAACAACAACAATCTGAAGCATCGGATAAAGCAGCAAATGAGATATTAAAATGTGTTATCCTAATTTGTCATCATTTGCCCTAAAATATCTATCAGTTCCAGCAACTTCAACCCCCTGTGAAAATGTCTTTTCGGTTGCAGGCCATACTGCTGGAGAATTGATGTCTGACTGAACAGGCAAACACGTAGAAGCCCTTTTGTTTTCTGAATGGAAATCCTTATTCACGGCTGCATTACATTTAATCAGGATAGAGTGGCCAATTTTTCTTCTCGTTTTTCTAATAGTTCACAAATTTTTTTTCATTTACATGTGAAAGCTTGTACTCTGTTATATTCTATTTCTGTTTGGTCATTGTATTGTCATCAAGAAGAACCCTTTGTGAAAAGAATAATATGCGTTTTCATTTCATGCTCATTATAATTTCATGCTCTCGAATTAGCTTCAAGTGCTTTCATGTTTATGGGTTTACACCTCGGAATATATGCTATTGATTGCCGCGGATTGCCGAGCAAATGCCTTCAATGTTTACTATTCGCGACGACCACATTGGTTTAAACTGAACTGATGGAAAAGCGATTATGACGATTGTGTATTTAGTCAGTCATACGTGTATCTTGCACCCGTATGTGCTATCTGGAGCATAATTTTTTTCGATTTATCATTTCCGTCTGGGGGATTTGATGGTATTACTAGAGTTATGGTCCCATTTATAGGAGGTGGAAAAGGGAGTTGGTCAGCTTTTAAACGGTTACGTTTGTTCAATGCATTGGTACGGCATTCCTCCTGTTGTGTTTCAGATCGTATATTTCGCTGGTCTCGAAGTTTGTTTCAAATTTAACCATATGGCAGCTGAATTTCTTACGAACCTCGTTTCGTATGTCCTGTATGTCCCATGCGTTTATAAAATTATTTGTTTTTATCTAGAAAGATTTTTAGGTTTATTGTATCTAGTTTTAAGATTGCGAAGATTTTCATCACCACTTTATTATTATGGCCCACATATGTATTTTTAAAAACATTTTGTCGTTTTATGTTTAGCGCGTTTCCGGTTATGGCTTGTACACTTCGAGTGATAGAATTATGAACTTTCATATATGTGGGGCATGGGAGGAAATGTGCGGAGTTGTATCGACGGTTCTTTTGCAGAGTTTGCATGCCGGTGTTTCGAGCTGCGGGGTTCCGAAGTTTTTCAGCAGGCTGTATCTCCATTTGCGATGTCCAAGCAAATATGTGTCGCTTTCAATTCTACGCAACACTTCACGTTCTTGGTTAGTGAAAAGAGGCTTTAGGGTGGGGTTCAAATAGTTTATTATTGACCAATCAGTATTTTCTT